CTAATATGTAGATCAAGGGTAACTGAATTTATTCCCTATTCTAACACTTAAAGAATGCACTGAAAAAAATTGTGTAATGGGATAATATTTTTGAAAGAAACTATCATTGATAAAATTCTTTTTCTTTGTAATTCTTGTTATATTTGGCTGTCTGCCCACTGAAACTGAAGGTTCTCTTGCTTTAGAGGAAGGCAATGCAGCATCAAGAAGAGGAAAGTCATCGCTCAGCTTGGCTTTCAAATAACACAGCATAGAAGAAGCAGAGCTTTCATTTGCAAAAGCAACGGTTTGTTGAAAGAGGGAAAAAGATTTGTTGGTTCCAACCAGTCAAACTTGGCGGGCTTTGACCCAGCTCCCATTGCGGTTGGAGGAGGGTGGGGTGTGGCGGGGAGAGGAAGACTCTAGGTCTTTAGGATCACAGAACTTAGAGGGATTGTCCCCACCTCCTGTCTATAATTCTGCGCTGGGGGATACCTCTAAGTAGCATGCTCTATGTCAACATGAGGCAGCTTCTTAGAATGAAATGGGTGGTATGGTGTCATTAGTTAGACTTGGGGCCTGAGATAGGGCCTTCCAGGTCCCCATAACCTCACATGTGTGGAGGAGAGCCAGATGTTTTGCATGTCTGGGTAGGGGGACAAGTGGTAGGTAGATGAGAGCTGAAATCTAGATAGGGATAACCACAATGTAGGGTAAAGGTTTGGGGCTGGACAGACAAAGCCAGAGATCGGTTAGAGCATGCAACTGTGTCTCCAGGACTAGTACTTAGCAACAACTTAGAACTTAGATAGGGCTGAGTCAGAGGGAGGATGGCCATACCATGCCAAGAGACCAGATGAAGAAATGACAGATGTGCAAGGTATCCAGGGAGGACAAAAGTCTCTTTTTCAAGATCTGCTACATTCCATTTGAATCCAGTGGAAGCTAGCTGAGAAAGATAAAACTTCAAATGATCCCTCCCACCATCATGACTCTCCCTAGAACCAAGATGCCATCCTGGAGAGGAGGAGAATGGGAGAAATTTGAGCTTAGCAATTTGGAAAGGAAAACAATCCTGATATAGAATTTGATTTTGAATTGACTGAGTTTGAATTGTGAATGGACTGAGAATTTACCTGTAAGAGACCAAGATCTGGATCAGAAGGAATCTACTTCATGAGATCAAGGGCTCACTGCTATCCAGTGACTTCAGACCTAGGAAAGAGGACCTATGCTCTGATCAGTGTTGGACGTTCCTCTTCCCACAGGATGGGCAGCCCTGGGGGCTAAAGCGATGTGCCCACTGGAGGCTGCACACCTCTTGTAAACTGGGTGCTGGAGTTTGCATTATTCCTTGTACAAATGGTTCTGAGCCTGCTTCCAAGGCCTGTGTCATTCTCTTCTTTAGTTCTCTTTCCTGGGGCTGCCTTACTGCGGCTTGGAGTTTATACCTTAAGGCTGAGGGGCACCCAAAGGATTCCCCTGGGTTCTCTCTCATACACATACAGAGGAAGATGGTGAGAAGACACATAGGAGAACAGCATATGAAGACCGAGAATTGGAGTGATGCATT